TATATATATATATATATATATATATATGTGTGTGTGTGTGTGTGTGTGTGTGTACAAGTATATGTATGTATATCTGTGTATATATACATATACATATATACGTATATATTTATATAATTGATACATCTTAAATAAATGCATTATTCAGCAAGTTCTCCATGAAAAGTCATCAACATGTATAGCTTAAAAAAAATTATAAGCTATTGGAGGCAATAGCTTTAAATTTATAAAAAAAATAGTCATCAACATTATTCATCAAGTTCTGCATGTTGCACCCCTTTTGGCACTTGTCGATTCCAAATAGTTTGGACTTTACAACTTTGTTCTTGTAGTTAAAGTAGTAGTATAAAAAATTTATATAGTTTCTTATTGCATGTTTCTGTGAAAATCGGAGTTCAACATGCAAAATAACTAAACATAAGAAACAACGACAACTGCTTTGCAAGATGGCCAATTGTCTATCTACTTCATTGTTCATATATGTTTCAAGTTTCAGAAGCATTTGTTAATGTGTTTGATTCGATCATTTAATTTGAGGTTGATGTCGAAGATGAAAATTTTTGATCCTTAATGCATCACTGGTTGTTAGATTCCAATTACCCAGTTAGCTCATAGCATGTGTACTACATAAAAAAAAAAGGGGTTTAAGCATGTATGTAATAGGCTGTCAAAAAGTTAGGCAGTGTCATATTGGAAATTTGGACACCATTATGATGAGAAGCTGAACCAAAACAGTTGTTTAGTTCAAATGATCCTCACTGAAAAACTGTAGAAATTAAAAGTTGCAAGGAAAAGCAAGCAACTAAGTTATCTTTCATTGAGTAGAAAATATCATAGACACTCCATTAATTTCTAGAATTCCCTATTAAGAATATATATATAGACATTCTTTTATAATATCAATGATTTCTTAACTATGCATGTGATGAAATTTATGTTTCTAACTTGATATTGGTGTGCTTTTATGAGCACAGTACCACACTGTCTATTTAAGTGATGCTAGAACCATTAGTAAGATTACTTTGTCACTTCTTCAAGATTGATTACACTATTCTTTAATATTACTGTGAAAGAAGGGGATAAATGGTAACCATGTGAAAGCATGTATGCAATAGTAACAACATCTTTGAGATATACATACTTGGATGCTTGAACTAGTAAAACATCATCATGAAACTTGAACCAATACATGTTTGTGAATCCAGTAAGTCGGTTTATCAGAGTAGCTAGCAACATCATTCTGGAACTAGTGCTCTGTATGTTATTTAAGATGTTTGAAATGTTTAAGAAAATGACTGAAAATTTTTGCTAGAATAAGTTGCTCGAAAACGAAAGATGGAAAGTTTAAAAGAGTGGCACCAGCTTGACCGACCCCCTTTCGGGTTCTTTTGTCGCCAGGAAATTACGTAGCATCGACGGAGCATTTCGGGTGAACATTTGGGCCTTTTTAGCTCATAATTAAGATCGCTTCACACCCGACGTTTACACAACTTCTTCTATCGCAGGAACATCTATTCAAAGGAGGACAATCTAAAGCCACACGATCTTTTCACGCCTGAATGCTGACCTTCCCTTGGGGACGTAAAGCGATGTTGCCCCGACAAGGGTTGTCACCGTCCTTTAGAAACTCCTCGCAGCACCCTCTCTCTCTCTTCTAGTCTAGTCGCGGCTGATGCAATATACACGAGACCCCATATCGCGTACGGTAAGACCAGCATCCTTGCATCCCGTGAAAAAAAGGGTCTCCTCTCCCCCAAGCCTGCGCCGCCAACTCATGAGGAAAACTGGCCGCCTCACTTGCACCTCTTTTCCTGACAAGCAACAACGAAGTGGATGGGCATCAATCATTGTTTCGCGTGAAGATTTTGAAGCTTTTTTTTTCTTTCTTGGGGTGGGGGGTTCTTCTTATCGTACCTGAGACGGAGAGAGCCTCTGCAGCTTTAGCTTTTGTGTCCTTCCTTCTGTCCGAGTCGAGGAGGAAGCAGAGGGTTTTTATCAAGCTTGGATATTGTTTCACATCTGTTTGAAGAAAGAAAAAGGCCATTGTCATGTCAAAGCTTACCCAAGCAATCAATAACTGCCCGAGTTGGAGAACAACAGTACCGTACATAAAAGGATATCACTGGCGATGATCAAGTCCCAATCCGGTTCAGAAATCGGAAAGGTGTCTCCCCATGTATCTGAAGCATTCCATGGGACAAAAAAAAAAAAAAGCTCTAAATCAGAAAACACTCCAAATAATTCTCACATGTTGGCCTCAGCGGTAAACACTTTGCAAGATAATATTATTTGAAACTTGTCAAAGAGTCGATTTTGCAATATACTATCATCAACCTACGCACCACCTATTGGACCAACATGACTGGGAAGAAGAACAAATGAAACTTACGCTTGATGTGAGGCAGCACATGTAGCCCATTAGCTCTACAATTGTAAGCTATATTTTCTTCTATTTCCAAGTCATCAAAATCAGAGGTTGTAATGTCCACCCCGAACGATTTTCTCAAGAAAATGGCTAAAGCTCCGGTTCCACTACATGTTTAGATATAGAAACAACTAGTTTATATAATTAATAGTCACTGCAATACAGAAGACAGATAATAACATGGTGAGGTGCAATATGTGATCATTACACTAAAAGCAGTAGGCCTAGCATCCAAATGTTAATCTCTCTCTTTTTCTTTTTCTCCAGAAAAATCAAAATCTGATCTATAAGACAACCTTTTCTGACTCCAGTTATTCGGTCACTTGTAGACAACATAACTGGCTTATCAGCCGAGTGTAGTATTATGTGATCATTACACTAATAGTAGTAGGCCTAGCATCAAATGCTAATCTCCTCCTAAGCCTCGACGGCTCTGAGATCATCCATATTCCTTCAGCAAATCAACCAATCCTCATAACCTAACTCATTCTCGGAATGTTCCACCATATTTTTCATTTATTTAAAGGATCCACGAAGCTTTTACTAAATTTGGATAGCTTAATTCTTAAATCCATGATAATCATCTGTATTTTGCATCCCCTTGTACTTAAACTGACGAAAAATGGAACAAGTAATCCAGATTCCATACAACAAATATATATAATGGATAATCTACATTATTCTGAAACTGAAGTAACAATGAATTTCAACAAACAAGCTTTGGACTCAAAAAAGTATTACCATAGGTAACTTTTTCTAGCTTTAAGCAATAAATTGTACAACATGTGACTTTCTTCATAAATTAAATATGTTCATTAATAAAATTTGAATAAAGTGTCCTGTAGTGGCAATTTTCCACTAGAAGTATTAATCCATCATTAGTAAAAAAGATTAACATGGAAGCAACCTAGAGCAAATAAAGATTCATCATACTGTTAATTCCATCTGTATTACCACAAATACTGAATACAATTATACTTGAGAAGTTAAATTCTTCAAACAATAACATAAAGCATAAACAAACAAAACAAGTTGGCTAGGTTCCTTCTAACAGTTTTTCCACAAGTACTATACCAACAAAATATTGTTTTTCAAGGAAAATGTTGTTGCATACCTTCCTAACTCCAAGATGCGTGCTCCATGTAAAAGAGATCGATTCTCAACTAACCAATTGCTAAATGCAAATGTCCCAGGCCACAACAAATTGGCATTTAGCTGGTGAAATGAAAATTCTCGAAGATTCAACTCCTGCATGTCAATGATCCAAGCAAAACATTATAACTAAAAAAATGTGAAGTATGGCTGCAATTTTCACTGGTATACCTATAGGGAAATACCCTATCAACTCTCAAATCTTTATCAGAAGGTTAATTAAATTAAAAATATGAAAGACAAAGGCCAGAGGGTTCTAGGCATTGTGTATATGACAATTCTGAGGGGATTCGAGTTAAATGCATGTCACCTATAACTTTTTGCTTAGGCTAAAATCTAAGCAACAGAGCAAATTTATCCTCAAATTTTAATAAGATTAGTTGAAAAAAGGCACAAGGTTGTTTGTGTCTTTTTTATTTAACTCTCATGTTAAATTCTTAGTCCAATGTTTTATAGCAGCTTGTCAAAAAAGAATCCAAGAAAAAAAGCTCTACAAGAATCTTCATTTTACGAAAAAATAGCAGGCTATGAAGTACAACAGCAAGACCTCATTTCCAATCATCAGGGGCCATTCACATAGCTCCTTCAATGGCACATAGCCTTTTAGGATATCTTTCTCTCTAATTCAAGGGCCATCATATTCTTCACACAAGCCATTTTTCTCTTGTTTCTTGCACTTGCATGCTATCCACAAGGCCATGTCATAAACCATCGGCATGAACACTGTCTATCAATGACATCGAACTCAGAATCCTAGGAAGAAATGGCCCATTGCAAATCTCTGAAGTCGTTAAGGATCCCCTCATCTGTCAAGTCATCAGGAAATAAATTTTTTGTAATGTGACAATTCAATCAGAATGCAAGGCATGACCATAATGTGTCATTAGGCAGCAATAGATGATAACTGAGTTCAGGAGACAAAACAGATCTTTTTTTTAATACATAGGAAGCTAGTAAAGGCTGTTGTTTGTGATTGTTACATCATACTTTGTCGGGAGATCTTTTGCTTCCCTAAGCCCATAATCTCTGTCACATCTTTAATTTTTTATGCCTCTAATTCACAATCAAAAAAGATAATTGTAAGTTTTACTTTGGGGTAATTTGATTCCTAATTATCCAGTATTATGCCAACATAGCATGCTTAGAAGCATAGTTGTGTTATCAATCTTCCTCCCAGTTTAAAGAACTTCTTAATTAATATCATCCTGCTCATATTGGATGAGAAAATATTCTTTTTAGAAACCACAGGTATGTTGACATTTTAATTCGAGACATGGGTCTTTAGTCAAACATTAAGGCAGACCAGATACATTGAAAAACCCAACAAATGCCTCCCAGAATGAAACAGAAGAAAGCCAAATTGGTAGCTGAGCATTCAACCATGTCGAGGCATCAGATAGTGGATTTGCAGGCCCCAACACACAGTGGCATGAAATTGAAACAGCATTCTGATTGTCTGGATGGAGGAACAGTATGAAAGTAATGTGTGGAGAGCAAAGAGTATGATACCAAGAATTATGCACGTAATTAAATATTTAACATGGAATTTCCTACATATTGCATTGATCTCGACAGACAAGTTATGAAAGCATTGTCTGATCAAGAGAAACACATCAGTTTATTAACTGTGTCATTAAATGTGTAGAATGTACTTAAGAGTTAAGACTAGATAAAGCTATGCAAACTAAAAGAACAAAACATAAAAAAATGCTAGCCAATTTTTATTTTAGATTTCAATAAACAAATTGGACTTCTCAGAACTAGGCAGAGAGAGATCCAAATTTAGGAGAGAGACACATAAGTGTTCTTTAGTCATACAATTCAACAGATTAGTGCTTTTCAGTACAGTCTAAATTTCTTCCCATGATTCTATCACATTTTCAGTTACAGAAATAGGCAAACGACAAGCTTTTGGTTTAATAATTTACAAGATCTCCTCTCTTTTTTGTTCTCATTAACGTGACAATAAATCTTAACTCAGGATCCTAAAACAACATTATATGTCGCCCACCACACTTGATCATATTTGTGCTTTACGCAGCTTATCAAGCAGGAGACTGCATAGCCAGGGTAAACACTTCTTGCTCATTATAGGCACAATACTAGGGCACGGGCATGATTTCCTTCCTCTAGTTGAAACAAAGAAACTCCTCAGTCACCAACATCAACCTGTGGTATTTTATCTCGTATTAGGGCATTCACCTACAATCCTATGGATACCTGAACCCGAACCCAAATGATTCAATCTATTGAAGGTTTCTTGCGCTCTGTTGATTCTTTCATTGATCTTTAGGGCATTCACTTGCATAACCTGTAGTACTTTATCTTGAGTTAGGGCATTCACTTACAATCCTATGGAAACGTGACCCAAACCCTAATGATTCAATCTACTGAAGGTTTCTTGCGCTCCGTTGATTCTTTGATTGATCTCTAGGGCATTCAGTGACATCAAGCTGTGGTGTTTTATCTTGAATTACGGCATTCACTCACAATCCTATGGATACGTGAACCGAAACCCTAATGATTCAATCTATTGAAGGTTTCTTGCGCTCCGTTGATTCTTTCATTGATCTCTAAGGGAAGAGAATAGGAGAATCGTAGTACCATTCCAGGAAAAGCATGGTTTCTCTCCACATGAACCTGCTGCTCCGCCGCGCTCTCGTTCCCCTCCGCCGCCGCTGCCAAAACAAAGAAAAGTCAAACAAATAAAAAGAATAAAATCATGCAATAAACAGGAAAGCAAGGAAAAATAATAGGGTAACAAGAAAGAGCAAAAGATCGACAAAGAAGACGAGGGATTCCAAGAAATCAAATGTTCTGAAGAAGGGGAAAAAGATCCAGGAAGAAGACGGAATCATTCCAAGAAAAGATAAGATCAACATCGACGAAGAAGACGAGGGATTCGAGGGAAACATATAGGGTCTCAAGAAACGGAACAAAGATGGGCGACGAAGACGAGAATATTCCAAGAAAACACGGAATCTTGCTTACCTAAGTATTCTCCACCGACCTCGTCGTCGTGGAAGAGAGACGCCGGAGAGAAGAGCGCTACGTCCATCGATACCACCGCCGCCGACGACGTTCCGACACGACCGCCTTCTTCCCGTTAGTCGGAGAGCGATCGGATCCTGTTTTACAACCACTACGGCATCGGGGGTTACGCTTTCGGGTATCGGGTTAATAAGATCCGTTTAAATCGGATCCGGGTACTGGGGATTAAAACCCAATTACAAATGGATCAAAACCCCAACTTGAACCCGATTTTTGGTAGTAATCGAATTATCGACAAAGTTGATTCAGTGGAAATGAACATAATTTGTCATTTTCCCATAGATAATTAATGAAAAAACAAGGAAATGGATAACGCTATTGATCCAATAATCTAATTCAATTAAGATGTTACAACATGATGTTTGGTCCAACAGACGCACTTTGGGTCGAATCAGGATTGATTTGGACTATCTTCTGGTCCGGTTAGGTCGGACCAGTTTATAATTGGGATCATAAATGGCATCTATTAGCAATGTCTACTCCAATTGGTGATGACGTGGACTTGAGAATAAGCAGGTAGGGAAAATGACAACAGTGACTTTGAAGAAGACGGCTAACGGAAGGCAATATTTTAGCCTATTTAAATTAAATGGACAGCTAAAGCTGGTGTAGTTTTAGTAGGTGATACCACGAATATTCTGTACCAATCGGATAACGACAGGTGGACCTTAAGATGATCATTCTAGACTCAGGCCTTGTCAAAATGGATCGACGCCAAATGTCATCAGACAATATTTTTTTGCATGGATGTCGAGAATGGTTCGACCTGATTCAGACATGAAACCAAAGCAGGTCAATCTCGTCTAATGTGGCAAGATGCCGAACTAGAAGAACTGAGTGCTAGAGTCGAAGCGTCGAGGTTATTCTTTCCGAAAACCATAAAGGTTTCTTAGATAGTTGAGCTAATGCAGGAGAAGACTGATGTTAGATTTTGCTGGAGTCTCTGGTCCTTCCATGTTCATGTAAATATATATATTTTTTAAGATGACCGTTGACATGAGAAATTTGACATAATAGATTTTATCACTTTCGTGTACACGTGTCAAATATTTATTAAAAGCATTCTTTATCTCGACGCTAAAAGAGAAATTTAAAGAAATGATAAAAAATTGACGCGAAGATTTACGTGATTCGATAACGAACAAACAATGTTGAGTTGGGCCGGAGATGAACTGAGACTGAAGCTATAGCGTTGTTGTCACCGTGGATTCGGCAATGGCGTCGTTACGTGGGACACCAGCACTATGCCCACCAAGTGGTCGCTATAAGACCGAGCAGGTGAGAGCCGACTGGTAGAGCGACCAGTCAAAACCAAACCCAACGTGGAATCCCCCCTCCCCCCCGCCTCCCACCACCCGGGGCAAGTCACTTCCCAATTCTTCGCACTTCCACTTCCCTTTCTTCCCCCTTCCTCAAATCCACCACCAAACAGTCCGCCTGCACCTCTCAACCACCACCACCCCCCCTCTCTGTCTCTCTCTCTCACCCTCTTTTATTTTAATCCCCCTCCTTGTAGCAAGCAAGCGGTTCCTTACGCCGGAGGCCGCCATGGTCGCCCCACCGAGCACCGGTCTTCAGCAAGCGCTCCAGGCGGTGGTGCAAAGCGTTCACTGGACCTACAGCCTCTTCTGGCAGGTCTGCCCGCAACAAGGGTGAGAACACAGTATGGTTAACTCATCCTATCACCGCCACTGTTTCTCCCCTTCGTCCTCTCACTTTGCATCTTCTTCTGGTGGTGATCCGGAAAGAACTCTGGTGTGGGGAGATGGATACTACAATGGCGGGATAAAGACGAGGAAGACGGTGCAGCCGGTGGAGGTGAGCACGGAGGAAGCTTCTCTTCAGAGGAGCCAGCAGCTGAGGGAGCTCTTCGAGTCGTTGTCGTCGGGTGAGGCCAACCTACCGGCACGGCGACCTTGCGCAGCCCTCTCACCGGAGGATCTCACCGAGGCGGAATGGTTCTACCTCATGTGCATTTCCTTCTCCTTCCCTCCCGGTGTTGGGTATGTTGCTCTCTCCGTCTCCTCCTCTCGAGTGCACCTGCTGTTAATGAGCTGATAATTATTATATCAAGTATATAAAAACACATAATTCTTAGAAAATTTTTCCAAAAAAGACAAGGCAATAGAAACTTCTAAGATAGATTATGTGAAATCCTACATCATATACACTATGTTTCATGTACGATCGTGATCATAATTGGAGGTTAGTTCAATGATTTAGGTTACCAGGGAAGGCATTTGCGAGGCAACGACATGTTTGGCTCACGAGAGCAAACGAGGTTGATAGCAAAGCATTCTCGAGGGCCATTCTCGCAAAGGTAATTGGTTTCTATGGAGAGCTGAACTAAGAATTCTCTTTCTTCATCATCAATCGAATCATTGTTCGTGATATTAGAATTCTATTTTCTCGTCTATTTAATCATCGTTCAATATTTTTAGTTACAACACATTGATTTGATCTCAGAAACTGAACCACCTCCCGATAGCATAGTCACCCAAAGTAGAACCTCATATTTTTTTCATAGAATCAACTAGAAATAGTTTCTTTTACAAAAAAGAATTCAGTTCAGATACATGTTCAAAAGTATTTGAATGCTACAATCATCATTATAATTTCAGCAGGAAATGATCTTATTTTTATGATCGCATCTTTTGTTGTAAAATTGTCATCGAATACAAATTAATGCTGACCTTTTCATCTTGTTCCCGTGGATGCTATATGTACGCAAACTGTTGGGATGCATGATGCAACAGAGTGCTCACGTCCAGGTATCTTTTCTTTCTTATCCTCATTCTTTATTCCCATAGAAATTGTTGAATATATCATGATAAAAGATGAGTGAATTCACTATATATGTTACAGACAGTTGTGTGCATCCCTCTCATGGATGGAGTTCTTGAGTTAGGTAATATAGAAAAGGTTAGTGTATTCTCATACTAAAACCTGTCAACTTCTGTGAGTGATCCTATTTGATGACGTTTAGAGTGCTTCGATAGGTTGAGGAAGACATGGCATTGATACAACATGCAAAGAGATTCTTCACGGACTACTTTGATGTACACACAAAGCCTGCCCTCTCCGAGCAATCTGCTTCGAATCAATTCGCAAGCGCAGACCATGCACTGTATCATCAGCAAGCACCAATCATACATCAGATGAACATGGAGACACATGCTTCCAACCAAGAAGAAGATGACGCTCATGATCATAACGAAGATTACAACGACGACGACGATGATGACGGCGACGACGACGGTGACGGCAGTTGTCGATCGGAGCTTAAAGGGATGAGATACGGTGTTGATGTATCGATGCATCATCCAGCGGTAGCAGCAGCAGCAGCAGCAGCAGAAGAAGAAGAAGCAAGTGAGTTGATGCAGCTTGAGATGTCGGAAGATATCAGGGTAGGCTCCGTCAGTGATTGTTCCAATAACTTGGACGTAGAACACATGCCCGATGGAGAGTCTAAAAAACAAAGACAAGATCATGACTTCTCTAAAAACTGGCATTTCCTACTTGAAGATCTTGGTAATGGATTTGGATTCCAACAGTCATTAGGTATCCCTTTTGAATCATAGACCAATTTGACGTGTGTAGAACATGCATGCATCCTCTCACTCTCACCAGCTCTGTTAGCCTTTAATCAGATATATGTAGCGCAAGTTTGATGGAAGATGAGCTTTAAACTTGTATGGCATTTGCAGGGACTCAAGTTCAAGACTTCTCTTCGGAAGATGCACACTATTCTGAGACGGTTTCCAGCATTCTACGACACAACATGAATCGATGGGTGGATGCGAGCTCCTTCAGCTACTTGGTTCGTTCTCACAACTCGGCGTTCTCTATGTGGAGCTGTAAAAGAGATCATACGGTGTCATCGCAAGGGAGTTCGCAGTGGCTACTGAAGAGCGTTCTCTTGAACATCCGCGATCGACTCTGCAAGCTTGGCGATGGCAGAGATGGAGAGGGTGGAAACAAGCTTCAGAAGTGTGCAACGCAGGAAGAAGTGAGTGCTAACCATGTGCTTGCTGAGCGCCGTAGAAGAGAGAAGCTCAATGAGAGGTTTATGGTCCTTCGATCATTGGTTCCATTTGTGACCAAGGTCTGCCTTAACGTCGTCCTTTTCTTCTTTTTCTTCTTCTTCTAGTTTGGACTGTTACAAGAATTGCTGCTTGCAGATGGACAAGGCATCAATATTAGGTGATACGATTGAGTACATCGAGCAACTACGAAGGCGCATTCAAGATCTGGAGGGAAGAAACAGGCAGCAGTCATCAAAGAGACAATGTGGCTCCCAAGTGGGGAACTGCAAACTGGACGTACAAAGAAGGGTTGGTTTGTCAGCTGACAAGAGGAAACTGCAGGTGCTCGAAGGAAGCAATGGAATGGCCACGACAAGTGTGCATGTCTCCATGGCAGAAGCTGATGCTCTCCTGGAGCTGCACTGCCCTTGCAGAGATGGGTTGCTGCTGGACATCATGCAGACGCTTCATGAGCTCGGGTTGGAGGTCTCCTCCCTGCAGTGTTCCTCCACTAATGGCGTGTTCGGTGCGGAGATGCGTTCTAAGGTAAAGACAGCAATCAAACTCCATTCTTGTATAACCAAGCAATTAGTTCATGGTCAATCATCATTTGACATGGGTCCACAAGAAATCAACGGATGGGCCCCACCCGCAATTTGTTAGTGGAAGTAACCTTTAGCGCTTACAAAAGGTAACCTGATTTTGTTACTTCTCTTATTCTTCAATGAGACTAAACATATTTACTATAACCATATTTATCGATACTCCCATTAGGAGAAATAAGACCTCTCGAGTCCCATGATTAACATAAATATTTGGTTTCTATACTCCTTAATTAATGTAGAACTACACATATGTATCAGTACATTATTTGAGTATGTTTTTTTGTTTTAATAATGCTCTTTCTTCTTTGCTCTTCCACAGATGAAAGAGGCATACGGAAGGAGAGTTGACATTGTGGAGCTGAAGAAGGCGATTCACCAAATAATCTCTGACCATTAACCCTGACGGGGTATCAATAAAGTTGACATGAATGAGCAGCAATGGCCCGCTAATACTTGATTACAAACATAGAGTATACAGCGTAACTATTACACTATACTGATATAGTGCACTCATATATACTAGGATTACTTTGTGAGAATAAGTACATGGATGTGATATAGCACACAAATGACCTGTTGTGTGTTCATTAATGGTTGCTGAGTCAGCTGAAATATGAAGTTAAGAACTAACTTTGGACCGGCCATATCATTGTATTTCACATGTATTGTTAATTAGTATATATATTTTCTTTACTCTTTGACTTATGATAATATTTGAATATTTATTTTTTTAAACATAAAAAATGTAGTTATGCTATTATTATATGAAAAATTTTAATATCAAAATTTAAAATTTAATAACGATATATCAAATCGATGCGTATCTTTCGATGTCATTCATAATTTTTTTTTTTTGTTAGCAAATGCATTGTTATCGAATTCAAGAGCTATAGCGATGTCGATATGCAAAAAGATCTAGACTCATCTTCTCCTCTCTTTCATTATTATGAGTAATAGATTAAGAATTAAAAAAATTTAAAAATAGATTTATAGTTCAATAATTAATGTTTTGTCCCTAGGAGATCCTAATCTTTTATAGACGAAAGTTAAAAGTCTAGAATAGTAATTAAAAGAGTCTCTCCTATGAAGATAATCTTGTAAGTAATTTTATTATAATTAGATTTTCTTTATATTGATCTATAGTAGAATCTAATCAAATCTAAATAAAAGATTCTTTTGATTATTGTGTCATAATCTAATTCATGTAGATATATCATATAATAATAAGAAATGATAGATTTCCTTTCCCTTTAAGATCTTTTCAAAAATATCGATCATGGATATTCTATAAGATCATTAATAACAACATTAACATCATATGGGAGTTTATCAATATTATTTTATTATTTATTTTTGTCAATTCTTTTAGTAATTTAAGAAATAATAATTTCTCAAATATAAAATAACAAAAGAGTATTAACTTGTATTTTCTTCAAGACAATCCTAAATATATAAATGTCTCAAGTTAGGTTTTCTATGAGTCCATAGCTTAAAAGAAGTTGATAGAATTGATTTACTATAAATTATATTAAAGATATATATAATCATCCTTAGAGTTTATCCTCATATTAATTCGAGTAAACAAGAATAACTCATCATACTCCCAACTATATCCATAAGAGTATAATTTCACTTTTTATTAATCCCATTCTATTGTGACACATTTGGAAAAATATACTATGCACAAATATCCTACTTTTTTAAAATCTAAAAAAAAAATTAAAATTATGATTATGTTTATTATAAATACTATAAAATTTATCATCATTATCATATTTGAAATTTTTAACTTTTCTATCTAATTGTCTCTCAACTTCATTTATGTACATCTAAAAGTACCATCTGTTTGAGATCTTACATGAATTAGATATATATAATCATTTCTCAATGAGTAATTTATAAAGATAATAAAATATCTTTCTCTACTAAACATAAAATATTATGTTTATTATAAACATATAGATCCAAATATATACAATATCAAGGAGTTTATGAAATTATGTTTTATTTTGATATTTGATTATAGGATAATTGTAAACTTAATATTTAAATTAATTATGTATAAATCATCATATAAAATTTAAAAAATTTAACTTTTATTTAATTATAAATATATTGAGTTTATAACCATCCTCAAAATATTGAGAAGATAAATAATATCTTCTATGTAAAGAAACTAAATTTTGAGAATTGTAGAAACATAGTATATATCCTCAAAATCTATCAAATGAATTATTTATATGTATAGGCGATAAGTATTAACTACTATTGCTTTTATTTTAAGATGATTCCCTATAATAATAAATATTTCATACTATTTTGATTCTTATATTAAAATAAATCTTTATTATTAGTAATATAAGTTGAAGTATCAAAATTAATATACTAAATATTAGAAATTTGTTTTTGTAATGTTTGATTTAAAACATATAAATGTTAGATCAATACCTTTCTCTTTCAAACTGAAACCTTATAGTTATTCTTCATATTACCCTTCTTCTTATGAAAGTAATAAATTACTGTAAAGATTTCTTTTATAAGTTTATATAACATTTATAAACCCAATTGATTTATTTAATAAATTATATTTCAATCTTTTATTTTTTTCAATTCTTGAGTAGTACTCAAAATATTATTTTAGTTTTAATTCTTCCTATACACATATACTTAAATTTTACTTATTCTTTATTTGTGTTGTAGAGAATTTTAAATAAGTTAAACTAAGAAGAAATAAAATTAAAAATAAATTATACGAGAAGTACATAATAATATTCATGTCCAAATGTTCTTGATCTTACAACTTTATCAATCATGAATTGTTAGTAAATATAAATTAATATTTGAATGTTACATTATGCTAACTATAGACTATAATAAAGTCTAAATGTTATTATTAATTATCATAAAGTTAAATCTTTAATTTTTTTTATTATCTATCTTAATTATTTATTCCATAAAGCTTTTAGTAGTTATATTTGTGATCTTATTAACTAGTTTAATCAGGGTCTAACATATCTAATGTAAATTACACATGCTTCAATTATTTATAATAATTTAATTCAAAAAATATATGGACATTTATAAGAATATAATGATGAAGATATCATTATAATAAAATAATATAATATAATTATTCAAAAAACTTTTATTTGAAATCAAGGTGCATCATTGTCAATTCCAAAAACTGTAATGATGTTAATTTATAAGGAGAACTATACTCACATTTTTCTTCGTTTCTATTTTTCATAGGACTAGTGATGTATTATGAGCTAAGGGAGATTGAGAATAGATCTATAATTTCAATAAATGATGTTTCAGTTTTATCCTTTTTCTTTATATGAGAGCAAAGGGTCTAGGATGATAATTAAGAAACTCACTCTTATAAAAGATATCTTTTAAAAAATTCTATTATAATTAGATTTTTTTGATCGATAATCTTAATTAGAATCTTATCAAATCTATAATATATCTTATAGGTTTCATAATTAAAAAATATAAAAGTTGACTTTTCACTTACATTAAGTGGATTGAGTCAAAATTAAGAAAAATCTCTAACGTGTTCAAATCAAACCTTTTAATCTAACCTTTAAGTTTGACTTATTATTTTTGGCTCACTTTAAGTTTTGAGACGCTCTTTGTGAAACATCTGATAAAATATTTTGTCAACCTTCAGTTGACTTATTATTTACGACCGTTTGGGAGATTCTTAATGAACTTTGAGCATACTTAAACTTACGTGTACAATCTCATAAATTCTCCGGCCTAAGCAATATTACAATAAGCTGATGATTATATGTAAAGATGTTTTTATACCTAGTTTAATTTAATGAAGTAAAAATAAATAAAGAAAACTTAAAAAACAATATATCTCGAATTAAAACTTCACTCTTATGCATGGATGATAAAATTACACCATTAAAGAAAGAAAGAAAATTTTCATAGTTTTAAATAACATCACTAATTATTACAATTTTAATCTTTTATAAACTTAATAGAAGATCCATCTACTATAATTGTGGGGTGAGTTTCCATATAAGATTTCACGATTGATATCATGCCTTGAGAAGCCCATCCTGCAAGAGTGCAAACAGAAACCCTAATGGGCCTCACATGCTACAAACCAATGAAAACACCGACACAGAGCCAACGGCTGCAAGACCAATCAGAATACTACAAGAAGTTGGCGAAGCTGATCCATCTTCCACTCATCAATGCTGCTCATGTTAAGGCTGACTGATTTGTATAGAATCTACGTAAGACATGCAGTCAATAGGATGCAGATATAGATAGCACATAATTACATGCATGGTAGTATAAAGCACTCTTAAATTTGAACTGTTAGCTGGGATTTTGTGCTGCCTCATCAATTTGGAGATAACTCGAACTAACGCGATTGTTGCACAGGTAGAGCGAGAAGGATAAGCGGATACCGCATGAGATAGAAAGCTGGAGAGTTGGTAACGAGAAGAACAACTTTCGTGAGAAAATGGTGCAGGCAATTGGTCTCAAGTATGGGATGCCTCAGCTTCGAGTCCATCACCACATGAAGAAGAGCAAAATAGTCACATGAAACAACAACGATGGCATGAGATCAAACGATCACAGCCAATCCCATGCACTTGCTGATGTTATGTACAGCCATCAGGACGGGAATTGATCTTGTACGTATTCTCGATACAAATCAGGAACGAACTGTTTCCTTTCAATCGAACGTTAAGGGTCGAGACAACACTAAACTTTTTATTATGAAGAGGCGGAATTGCTCTCACAGAGGATCAACAAAAGGACGTCATTAATCTACATAACGTACGAACTCGCCATTGCAGAAGCCAGCAATATTGCAGCCAAAAGAACAGCATAGTTGGGACACGAACATGAACAACTAGAACAGCTAAAGAAGAAAAATATCAAAGTTGTATCCAAAAAGAAAGAATAAATGAAAACGTGACAATAATCAGCAGGAAGCCCCCAACAGAAAACCGCACAGGGATGGCAGGAAGAAAAGAAAATTATGGCATCAACATGGTGTACTGTGACGGGCAGTTCATATGCCTTATTACACTAAAAGAGATGTAAATTATCATAATATTTAATTAGTAAGCACAGGCTGTGCCATTGACAAACTCTACACATGCATCAGTCGATACTTCATTCATGTCATGAATCGATAAGCGACGTATAGGTGATGAGGCTGTGTATAACCAACCTCATGCACACAAAACGACCAATCGACCACATGAATGAGAGAGTTCACAACATCGTTGAATAGATCTATGCAGTTTCATTTTTTATACAAATTTTTCTCAGCTTATTAATCCAATAAAGCTATGGCTTCAACATAACTTCCCCTAAAAGAGGTTATCTACCAACATTCCCATTAGAAGAAATGTCCAAGTTCGTAGTATTAAGAACATATAGTTCCCTTCTCGTGCAATCAATATAAGACGACGTGCCAAGAAAAACGTTGCTTTTGTGCATTTATTCTATGATCTACCTATTATTGGGCTGACATTTCCCACGGTCCATAGCCCATCTTTTTTTTAATTTAACCCTAGATCTAATAAGGGGGTATGGTAGTTACAAAAATAAAGAGAAAAACTGGTCGTAGAAAACTGTAATAGCAACTTGATTAAAAAAGAAGAAG